AGAGTGGGGAGCTCTCTCCCCAAACTTATGCACAATCAACTGAAACTGGATTTGTTACCAGTCTCAATATGTGTTTTTTAACCAGATTTAATTTCACTTGGAGAAGATAAAATTTGATAATATTTTCATCCAAAATTTGACCGTTATTCATTAAAACCTAATAAATTTGCACAGCAGATATGAAGATACACTGTGTTCTATCCAAGCGTGTGTACCTGTGAGAATGAACTGGCCTGTGACTGAGCTTTTTGTTAATGAAGAAAATAGTGTGAGAAATAATATTAAAGCTCAAAGTCAGGTGCTGCTGTGATATCTGGTAAGACTGAGATGGCCTCAGATAGCCTATCTGCACATTCCTCTCCCCACTCTATTTCCCTGGATAAGGTCCTACAGCTAAATAATTTAGCTGTGCATTATTATTAATAAATAATTCCCTTGTCAAGGGATCAGCACTGATCCTGCCCATCCTGGAATATCAGGTTTCAGTTCCCTGTGAGCCAGGGAATCTTTGACACAAGCCAGCCACAACCTCCCGTGGAAACCAGGGGGCCACCCCACACTCTGCAGCCCCTCATTGTCCACTTGGTTCCTGGGAGTGATCTCGGTAAGGCCTGCATGTCTGGCATTGACCTCCTTTCTCAGCATGGGAGTAGGTGTGACTAATAACACCTGTCTACCCAATTGTGCTGTGACAGATGTTATTACTTGCCATCCCCCCCTAAAGTAGGGTGAAGAAGGGGGTGATTAAAGCAGAAACCCACTTAAAAAAACTGAAAAGCAGCATTTATAGATGAAGATGAACTTTTAGGAACTGTATAAGCTCGTGGTTGCTTTCCTGGTTCTGCCTTCTGAGAGAATCAAGAAGTTTGAGAACTGCTTGAAGGTTCTTCTCTTCCAGGTAGAAACATCCTGTATATCTCATGGTCTGTTGAAGAAATTCTTCCCCTCCTGTGACCATCTGAGGTAACACAAATGAGGTTGGGGACTGGCCCTCCCATTGATGAGTGCTGGGTAGGAGGGAAGTGGGCTGTTGAAGAGCAGGAGGCAGGAATGACAGCATCCACCTTTCTCTATTGAGACCCTTCTGCTTTCTCCAAACACATATGGTCTGTGCTGTCTTTCTCCTGGGGTTACTACCTTGACTAACTGATGCATGATGTTACCTTCAGTCTTTCTCATCCAACATTTAGAAAGGATACTCCAGGTTACCATTTTTGGCCATTTGGTTGGTCCCAGATGGTTAAATCACTCTCAAATCCGCAGTTACATCATTATGTCCCTAGTGCCCCCTATGTCCACCCTGCCTCCTGCCTTTGTGTGCATCCCTGTGCTCACCAGCATCGCCTCCTGGGCCCTAAATCACACCCCAAACTTATCCAGTCAAAACACAATGTGTTCTCTTTCCCCAACCCACTACCTGCTCTTTCCTGGTGCTTCCATCTCATAAAACATGCACCTTCAACCACAAACCTGAGAATCCATTCTGAGTCCCTATTCTTGCTTGTGTCCCAAATCCAATCTATCCCCATTTCTTCTCACAGTAAAATATAAACTTTTTTTGTTGTTGTTGTTGTTGTTAAATCCATTGTCCCTGTAGGGTCCACTGCAAACAGGGACGCTGATACCCTAAAGAATGGTTCAAGCTTAACACACAAAAGAGGGGTCTGTTTCTCAAATCTGTATTACATCTCTAATAACAACACACAGAGATCACAAATGTCCTTAAATAATTAGGGCAGAGTAATTTGGAGCATAACTATGTTATTTTTCTGAATGTACAAAATAATAAAGGATGAAAAGTCACTAAGAATTATTTTGAATCTTGTTCTGGGATTTTGGGTGAAATGTTTTCCCAGAATCAAGAGTCTGGTCATTTGTTTTATATCCGTATAGGACAAAGTGCAAGTGCCAAATGACATCTTGCCAAGAGCTGCCATTCAGTGTTCTGGGCGAATCCTGAATCACATGCGCAGTGGGGGCTGAGACTGCTCCACCATGGGAGCCCTGGGACAGTTTCCTTCTCCTCACTGCAGGGACTCTCACCTTACCATCACCCTCTCCAGAAAGTGGCGACCCTCTTCTCAGAAGAACAAGGAAATAATAAATGTAAAAATTGCCTAAAAATCTTGCACTCATACATTTTAATCAAGAGCAGCTCTTATTTCTTTGGCTTGCTCTTTGTTAGCCCAGCTATACATTTGAACTGTCTGAGGGAGAGTATATGAAATAATAATTTCCTGGTCCCAGTGGCAGATATTCTGATCAATTGATTTGGTAGGGCTTAGGCCCTGGCATTCTGCTTAAATTGTACAATGAGTAACTTGTGTATGAAAATCATCTGAAGATTGTTTAACAATTCTAATGTCCAAGTGATAATGTAGAATGGTGAAATCAAACTTTGTGTAGAGTGGGATTAAAGCAATGTTATTTTCCAAAGGTCTTCAGGTGATTCCAGTACAGCCTAAACTGAGCTTTAGCCCGAGCCAGTGTGGTTATTAATGCATGGGAATCTTATAAGTCAGTGTTGAATTGGCCTGTAATATCTATCCTGGGAAACTTTGTTATTAACAGGAGTGAGAGTGCTCTTCCTGGAACAGTTGCTTTCTCGTCCCCACAGACTCTTGGTTACTGGCAGTATGACAGGACCCTCTGGATCGCCATCTCTTATTTGAGGGTCCTGGGAACCATGCACATGTCCCAGAGAAGTCCAGCAGCTCCTACAATTCTTCTAGGACACCAGCCTAATGATAAAATGAATCCTAGGTCCTCTGTACTCCAATTCTTCTTCCAGAAGGTCACACCCCTCTCCCTTCATCCAAATCCCCAGATGGCACCTGACTGGCCTTTCACAGGAAACTGAGCTCTGCACACGACACTTGCAGTGCTTCTGTACCTTCAGTAGAATGACTTGGCCTCCTTCCCTTCAGGCAGCCTCAGCTTTTATCCCCACCCAGGGCAGAGAGGTCACAGACTAGTGTGATCCTCTGATAAGTGACCTGAGAAATAGTCAACTCACAGCCTGTCTCTTGAGTACTCTAGTGTCCCTGATCCCCAATAGTTATTGTCACATGGTGGATAATTGAATTTGAAACAATCCTTGAGCTCAGGGATATGATTTCAATATTATTTATGGACATTGGGCATTTCTATGCACTCAGTAGCTGTATGTTGAATGAGTAAATAAATGAGTATGGTTTCACTTAGGAAAAGAGAACATTTGTTATCTTTTTAGCAAATGTTAGTATATAATAAGTGGTTCTTCTGGCTGATTATTTCAGATTACTTGACAACACTCAGGAGCTGTCACCAGAAAGTATGAGTGGACCTCATCTGATGACAGGAAGCTGTTGTGTGGTGCCAAAATTCACACTGAAGTTTTCAGGAACCAGGGGCTCCATCAACAAGAGAAGTTGTGGGAGATACAGACGATCCACCAAGGTAGTAATGCATCCTGAGATCTGCCAATCTGAGTCACTTTGGTTTTTGATGAAAAGACACAAAATATATGGAAAATTGAACCTGGTTGGTACAAAGTGTTGCACCCACATATAATGATAGAACCTATGGGTAGGAAGTTGCTAGCTCCTTCAGGTAATCCAGATAAAGTAACTCTAGGCACATGGAGAATGATGGAAACTTTACAGTGTTCACTGACTAGGTCCACAGTAATTTCTCTTTACTAAACCCAGTGGGTGAAATGTCCCAATGTCTGAGTGTTTAAAAGACGCAGAACATCAGGTAGTGTAAAGGCCTGGGTCTCACATTCCCAGTGCTAGATGAAGTCCCAGTGGCCAGCTCTGTGTAAACTAATGCAGAATTCTGTGAATGTCCTGGGGGGCCATTTCTACCTGTAGTGTGTGAGAATGGCACCTCGCACCTTCCCCCTGCTTCTCAAGTTCTCATTCATACCCACTGTTGTAAAAAACTACCACTTTGTCCTGGATCTGCATTCATATTACATATGTGTTTGTTGCCTCCATAGCCTTCATCCACAGAAGGAGAAATCAGTTTTCATAGACCCTGAGGTGGAGCCAAAGGAGGGCATCAAAGTAAACAATTTTCCAGGTCTGTCTCTCACTTAAGCTACATCTATCCCCCAAGGGTCCCTCCCCAACAGCACCATCCTCATGAAAAATGTGCCAATATTTTCTGCTTCAGAAGGAATTTTGTTTGTCTGTGTGTATGTTTTATTGAAGGATAAAAGAGTATACAAGTAATCAGAGAAGAAATATGCTCTTAGCTTCCTATCTCATGAAGTAGTACATGGTTTCATATGTGTCCCAAGATAGATGATCCACCAGACAGGTTCAACTGGATGATGGGGAGCAAACGTTTCTTCTTCATTAAATTTCATTAAAGTTAGAAAATAGTAACCTTTATCAGAAAAATCTGGGATTGACTTGAAGATAACCCTATGACCTTATTAAGGAAGGTTTTCATGTATTCCAGAATCATGTTTGCTTTTACAACTGTAACAACTTTACAGCAGCTGCCTCTATAGGTAACACTCAGCTATTAGATCTGGTTTTATGGCTCCTTATCATCCCCATCTGAAATGGTTTACAATTCAAGATAACCTTGGATACCACCTAATGTTCAATGGAGCAACTCTGAAGGCATGCAAAATATATACATACATACATTATATACATACATGCACAGGTACATAAATAAAGGTACAGGAGAGGAGAAAAAGAAACAAAATTATTATACAACTGAGAAACCATAGAAATGATGCAGTACATATAAAATCAGTTATGAATAAGAACTATATAAAGTAATAATCACCATTTTTTTGCTTTCACGTGTAATGGGAGGTGGACGGATATGTTTATCCTGAAAGAAAAAAGACCCAAGTTGATGCTTAGCCTGTGTTTAAGTTTTGTGAATCTGGCATTCCAACCTCCTTATGAATATTTCTACACAAATGTCCAACTGTCATCTCAAAGCCCAGGTGTCTCATTGAGGAACCATCTCCCTCCCCCCACCTGTTCTAGATTCATCCACAGAACCCAGAAATACATCTTTAGAAATTCTTCTTTTTCTTTTGTGCATTTTAAAATAACTTTTCAGAGGTTTTCCTTCACAATCTCTTAGGCACCTCTCACTCCCTCTCCATTCCCACCAGTGCCACTCAGACCTGCCTGCTCACACCAGGGCTATTTAACTGAATGCACGTGTCCCACAGCTACAGGGTGTCACACCCTCTGGACAATGATGGGCACATAAAGGACAAACCCTACTAGGGTTCTAGAGAAACAAAGGGAATGGGTGGAAGGATAAGAATAAGACAGTATGAGAAGGGCCTCACTTGAGAGTTCAGGGGACCCAGGGAAGGGGTGACCAGGGCAGGTCAGTCAGGGAACATTCAGACAGGAGTGACATGGGAGCTGAGCCTTGAAGGTTGACTATATGTTTCTTGGGCTGAAAGATAGTGAATTCAGTTCAAGTTCCTGCATTGTCTGAAATACTGTTTTAAATATGTCATTTCATAGCTCAGGAGACTCTGTGGTTCTGCACTGTCCATGTTACCAGTTTGAACTCTTTAACCTGACATTAAATCCCTCTGCAAACAACCCCAATTGATGGATTATGCTGTGTCACACACAATCCATCTACCTCAGCTCATGGAGTCGTGGTAACTGTGGTTCTGGTTTTATACCACTCTTTCTCGGGAGTGTGTTCTGCCCAGTTGTGTGACTCTACACAGTCTTCTTTCTTTTAGTGCCAAAAGTTGTTTGTAAGCACCTGGGTCCGAATGACCTTTCCCTCTCCCAAGCCCCTGCAGTCACCCTGACAGAGCCCCTTTGACAAATGGATGGGTTCCCTTGTACTGAGGTGTGAGTGTGGGGCACCTCTTCTTGTGAAAAGGATAAAGTCTTGGCTTCAAGGCTCCAGCCACAACTCAGCACATACTGGGTATTGAATACTGACCTCATCTTTGATGACAGCAAAGGAAGTCATACCTTCTGCCCCTGTTACTGAAATACCTTTATCAGCTTTTTTAGGGATTTTCCACCGCAGGTGAGGCTGGTCTTCCAGTTACTTGCTTTTTCCAAGCCTCCTCTGACTTCAAATTCCCTGGGGGTGAACCAGTTTCCATCTTCAGTTCTTATGCACTTCCTTGTGGCTCCTGTAAGACCAGGGTACATTGATGCTGACCCCTCTTTGTCCTCAGTGCTCAGAGGTTGGCCTCCCACCTCTTTGGATCTGATGTCACCCATCTGGGTTCAAGATCAATAGCAGGAGCATCTGGCCTCCCCTTCCATACTTCAGAACCTAGAATCCTAGCTTATAAGTTCCCTCCAAGGAGATTTGCTGCTTTGAATTAAAATCTCAAGTGGGGGCCCTGCAGCTCACAATGGCACTAAGGCAACATCCACGTCCTGTGTTACAACAATTTTCTCTGAGTTTACTGTCATTGTTGAGCAGATATTTTTCCATCCTTGAAATCATGGGTAGCTGATACTAAAATAATTGTGAGATATTAATCAGTAGAAAATTTAACTTATATGTAAAAGATTGTCATATACTTAATGCCATTATCATTAGATAAAAGGAAATTAAACCACAATCAAATTCTAGAGTCTAAGCACTAGGGTGGCCACTACGAAAAAGACAGACAATAACAAGTGTTGGTGAGAATACATAGAGATTGAAACCCTCAGATTTTGCTGATGAGAATTAAAATGGTGCAATACTTTGAAACATAGTTTGTCTTTTTCTCAATAAGAAAAACACAGAATTACCAGGTAATCCTGCAATTCCACTGCAGGGTATATACTAAAAAGTATCTTAAAAATATACTCACAAAAATAACTTTACATAAAAGGGTTATTATTATTCATGATAGCCAAAGAATGAGAAAACCCTAACTGAAGACTAAATGCAATATTGCATATCCATATTATGGCTCACATAGGACAATAAAAAGAATGACTTATAAGACATGGCACTGTATGTGTGAACCTTGAAAACTTCATGCTAAGTGAAGGAACCAGTGACAGAAAGGCAGATGTTATGTGAGTCAATTGAGATAAAATGCTTACATAGGCCAATTTATAGGTCAGAACATAGATTAATCAGTGCTTAGGGTGGGCGATGGGCTGGGTGGGAATGGGCCCTGACAGCTGAGAGGCATCGGGTTTCCTTTGGTGGGGACAAAATGTTCTAAAATTAGATTGTGATGATGGTTTTATAATCTTGTGAATGAACAAAATAAAAAAAAATCAGTGAAATCTACACTGTAAATGGTGAATTATACATATGTGAGTTATATCTCAGGGAAGTTGTTTAAAAATAATTATGATAAAACATTTATTCATATTAGTGTTCTCATAGCCATATTAAAAATAATCTGAGCCCTGGTTGGTGTAGCTCAGTGGTTTGAGCACGGGACTGTGAACCAAAGGGTTGTTGGTTCTATTCCCAGTCAGGGCACATGCCTGGGTTCCAGGCCAGGTTCCCAGTAGGGGACACATGAGAGGCAACCACACATTGATGTTTCTCTCTCTCTCTCTTTCTCTTTCCCTTCCCTTCTCTCTAAAAATAAATAAATAAATAAAATCTTAGTAATCTGATATGAAGTTCATCATATAGACAAAAAGCTTTAAGCTTTATAATATTAAAATCACAAAATACTTTATATTCATATATAAAAGAACTCTCAAAGTCAGAGTAGGAGGCATGTTTGTAATTATTATTCATTTCTTAGATGGGAAGTTTCAGGCTCAGGAAGGTCCCAGTCTTCACACTGTCACTCTCAGCAGGGCTGAGGCTGGGATCAGGTCTTCTGACTCTAAACTCTGTGATCTCCTCACTACATCCAACACCCTGTCCTGGTGGTGATTACCCAGATGGGATACAGTATGTGAACGTGGAGGCTGAGGGCCTCTTCCCTGTTATATCTGATTCAAAGTAGAAAATGCAGTATTTTGAACCCTGAGACAGACATTCCTGTACTTCTCTTTGTTTCTTTGGGCATCCTCATGGGCACTTGCACATGGGGAGTGAGCACTTGATATGCAGCACTGCTTACAGTGTAAAAATATCATCTTAGGGATCCTTTTTTTTCTTTCAAGCCACAGTGGGGACTCAATTCCTTGAATGACAGGAAATTCACGTGGGTCATTCCATTATTTCATGTGATTCCTTCACAGAGGGGTTGCAAATTAAAGTAACCTGGAAACCTACCTCGTTCCAATTTTCTCTTAATTAACAGCCCCCTCATCTCCCCACAGGCCACACGAAGTATTTCAGCACGAAAATTCACAGGCGCATCTGGCTGCTGTCTTGACCCTGAAAGAGAAGATTTTTATTCTGTCTCATTTCATAATTGCACAGAGAGAACTTCCTACCATGTAGTTATTGTTTCTACAAAGTCATAGGGGTACTAAGCAAACTGTATTCCACACATCTTCAGAGTTTCCAAGCCTTTCTTTCAGTGGCATTTTTTCATACATACCCACACAACGTTTGCCTTGATTTCACCTCTCACACCCCCCACACTAAGAACACTTTAGCAGAGACACCAGGCATCAGGACACCTGTCTCAGCTCCCCATGCAGTCAGCCCCCTGATTCTTATGTGACAGTGACACTGCTGTTCTGGTAGAAGGGAGCTCTGTGACTGTGCTGTTTCCCTGTAGTTAGGGTCATTGGAGGCAAAGTCCCAGACTGTACCTGCACCTTCCTGTGTGAAAGGGGAAGTCAGGAATCTCTAGGCAATCTATAAATTGCATGGGTGGTTAGACTAGTTGTAGTCTGTGAATGGTGTGTCGTTTATCAAAAGCTACAACCAATGCTCTGATCATCTAAGTCCATAGACTTAGATGACCTTGTCTTCCCTTGTCCACACACTTCTCTGTGAAGGCTCCTTGGTCCCTGAAGGCAGCTGTCCCCAAAGAAGGCAGAAAGGGATCAGCTTCTTCTTGCATTGTGATCAGGACAAAAGTGAATGTGGGGATTAATGGTGTTACAGAGACCAACTGTGGAAAGTCCAGATTCTGCTCTGACCCTTGCTGGCATTGATGCCTCATACTTTCCCCAACCAGCCTGGAAGGTGGACTCCCTTGGAGTGCCCAGATGATTCAGGTTTAATTTCTTTCATGTTTTTTTTTGAAATGCCTTTTCCATTTTATGTGTGACCCTTCTAGATGAAAAATCTGAGTGACAGCAGGAGATTATGGAAAGAACAATAAAGCTGGAGCCAGTGGAATAGTACACACAGGTTTCATAACAGTGAAGGAAGAGCAAAGATCCAGGCCCCTGAGGAAGAAACATCTAGGAAGGTAGGGGAGGTAGGGAGACCTTAATGATATCTGTCATTCCGAGCTCCCTGAGTCCTCCTTAGAGAATGAAACCACCTGGTCCAGGTCTTTCACCACAGGGATGCTGAGTCTGCCACTCAGCATCTGATCCAAGGAAACAGGGGCTGGTGCCAGCATCTGAAATCCCATGCAGAATGTCTCTGGGCAATGTGCCCCCACATAGATTCTTAGTCATTTGGTGGAGGGTTGTGAAAAGAACAAATGTGACCTGCCTGGTGTCATGGACATAAGAGGCAGATTGGAGAGATGGTTCTTAGGTAGTAACCTTGCCCCCTCCTGCCCCATTAAAAACTAGAAACAGTGAACAGAAGCAACAACATAAGACCTATAGCTGGCCAGTGGCCCAGACTGGAGAACATGCCTGTCCCTCCACCTCCTAGCTGATGTATATACACATCCTCACAGACCTCGACAGTGGTGAATACTTCCCTTTGAGGGCACTGTGTTCACTTGTCTCTGTCATGCAAACATGGTGACTTGCACCATAGGAGTGATCACAGGATCCTAAAGCAATTGCAGTAGAAGAAACTTGGTAAATGCTGCAGGAAACAAATGAATGGATTGGGGCTCAGCCCCCCTTGGTGGTGATATTAATCAGAGTGGCTGGTGGAGTGGTGACCTCCTGGGGACACTGCCAGACTCTGCTATGTGGGGTGAGCTTATTGGGAGGCAATTTTCTGTGGCATTTCCAGTTTCCTCAGGGTATCTTTTCAAGGAATTTTGATTAAGAAACTGTGTTGCAAGCTAATGTTAATGTTGTTACCTGATCAATATAAAATAGAGATCACCTCACCCCTGAGATATTTTAGGATAGTCCATTGTCCCTCCTCTCCCCAGGGGAGAGCTCCTTATGTTCCAGGGTGATGGTCATGTTCTGTATCTTCATAAAGATTGGACTTTACCAGAGAATACTTTAATCATAGCTCTTAGTATTTGTGCATCTTATTATAAATAATAAACTTTATGTCCAGAGACAAAGAAAAAGCACTGCAAACAAATATTGCAGTCTAGTTAATACTCTGCATGCTGAAGGGATTGGAGAGAAATGTACTGATTGAAATGTTTCAAACCTGAGGGTGGTTAGTGGATGGATAGGGACATGGATAGATGGACAGAAATGTGATAAAGCCAGAATAGTGAATGTTAATTTTGCATTGATGGGAAAGTATTTTGATGTTTATGGTACAATATTTCAAGTTTTCAGTGGTCCTAAAATTTTCACAACTTGATAGTTGGAAAATAAGATTTTGGCAAGAAAAGAAGCTGTTAAGCAAAAAATGACAGTTAAACTACAAAAAAGAAATCATCACCCATGCAATAGATCCTGAAAGACAACCAGTAACCATATTGGCATACTGAAGACATCTTTCTATTTAAAAATTTTTTCAAATCAAAGGCAACTTTCCATGTACAACACTGGCAGGTTTGCCACATAGACAGCCTACTACAATAAGTAGGTATTAATTCCACTAGACACAAAGTAAAGCCAAAGGAAAGAAACAATGATAAGTGTATAAAATGATGAATTATTTTGCAGAAATGTGGAGATCATGGAGATTAAAGGTTCAGTTTGAGAATATTCATGCTGAGATCCTTGACATCTTTTGAGATTAGGGCATAGTTGGAGAGATGGCAGAAATTTTATCTCCAATTTCCAAACCAGAAGAGACAAATGGTGGAATATGGAATTCTATCTCAATCAATCAGAATGAGGGAAAAAGACATAAAAGCACCCCAAAGAAATGGTTAACAAGAATATAGAATACATAAGTCCACATATATCAGGAATCATTATAATAATAAAATCATATTAAAAGACCAGATTTATCAGAGAAGTTTGCAAGAGGCAGAGTGTCATTATGAGGCATAACATAAACTGCATAGTGGGACTTAATGAAAAGGCAGTAAAAAAACATAAAACATAAAAGTTAATGTGACAATATTAGCACCCTGTGTAAAGATTTGAAAGTAAAAAGCATTTAGTACGATATACAGGAACACTCTGTAATTATAAAAGAAGAAATCCACCTAAGTAATAACAGTCATGAATAGCCTCAAAGTATTTCTAGTACAAAAACAGAACAAGGAGGAATTGTCAAATACACAGTCAAGTCGGGGCATGTAATACATCCCTATATGACAGGATGGAATGCGTACAACCTAATTTCCTGTGCATCCAGGGGATTTAAACAACCAAGTTGTGCTTCAGGAAGAGAATGTATATGGGGAGGAGCCAGATCACCAAAATAGTTCCAATGTGCATACTTTGAAAGGGACAGAAAACATTTATAAATATGGATCACACATTAGATTCCAAAGGAACTTTCAACAAATTTTTAAGAGCTGAAAGAGACAATTCTTCATACTGTATTCCAGCTGTGCATTTTTAATTCCTAATTTATTAAGAGAACATGTGCCTTCTTGGAGATGTCATAGTCCAGACAAAATACCGTAGTCCATAACTTCACTAATAGCTGGCAGGACCACCTGTTTCAGATTTGATGAGTGAGATGTGGGAGGTGGGGAAGTCTAGGAAAGCTTCTCACAAAAAGGGGCAGATCTCTGAAGGAAAGTATATTTTGCTCTTCCCCATTTCTCCTTTGGATAGCCTAGAGCATGTCTAGGTGGCTGCATTCAGCAGGCACCTTGGGCAATGATGTGATCTTCAAAGTGGCTAAACTAAAGGGAAAAAGAAGAAGCTTCCAAATACACAGGGCCTAATATAGCTAAAACCATTTTGAAAAAGAGAAACAAAAATTATAGGTCTTAGTATATAATTTTAGGACTTATCATAAAGCTGTAGTAATCCAGAAAATAGAATATTGACCTAAAGATAGACACATTGGAAAATAGAACAGAAAAAAGAAGTAGAGAAATACATCCTACTTGGATGGGCAAATGACTTTTGGCCATAAGCCAAAATGTCAAAGCAATTGATTCAATGTAAAAGGATAATCTTCAGTAAATGGTGCAGGGACAATGGAATATCTATATGCCACCCCCCAAAGGTTTTACTTAATGTCATGTGCAAAAATTAAACAGCTCAGACTGGATATCAGATACCAATCTGATGGCTGTCAGAGGGGAGGGAGGATAAGGGGACTGGGTGAAAGAAGGGGAAGGGATTACCTAAGGAACACATATGCATAACACATAGACACACACAACAGTGTGGTAAGGGCCAAAGGGAAGGAGGATGGGGGCTGGGTGGCGGTGGCTAAGGGCAGGAAATGGGGACATCTGTAATAGTGTCAACAATAAAAATAAAGTAAAAAAAAGAGAACCAGATTGCAGATTCTGGGGATTGCACATGGACAGCTCTGTTTCTGTTGGTATAAAATTCTCAAGAACTGAATAGGTCAGCCATATATGTCATGGGGATCTGCTCCATTAACAAAGGGCTCCTGCACGGATCCTCCCTACATAATCATGTACAAATTTTTGGCTTCTGCTGGGATGGCTGAGAGGATCTGTAAATCACACACATAGTCTCATCACAGAATTTTTCTGTGACTGAATATTCTGACTTTTTCTTACTTCTGAGTTTCCACCAAATAGTCATTAAGCCACATTCTTGGTCATTCTGCAGAGCACACTTACCTGACAGTGAATTTCAGCTTTGGCATCTTTTGCAACCTGAGTAAGCTAAGAAGAACCCAAGTCATCAAGTCCTGATTCCTTTGTTTTTTTTAAAATCACAGTTCTCCCCTTAGTTTATCTCTTTCCTCTCACATTTTATTGTAAGCAGCAAAAAGACAACTGCTGCATTCTTATCACCTAGAAATCTCTACAAAGTTCTGCTTTCCACATATGTGCAGTACAGGGTTTCCGTATGCTTTCAGTCATTTTATAATAAGGATCTTCTTCCAGTTCCCAAACACATGTTTTTTACTTCCTTCTGACCCTCAGCAGTCACACCAATAACCTCCCTATTTGTGATGTTCGGGATGATTTACAATTTCTCTGAGACAGCACAGGTTTTCTTTCCCACATTTTTCTCTCCTTCTGAGTCCTCTGCAGGTCCTCAGCAACCACATTTCTAAGAACAAATTCCTCAAGGCCATCTAGGCTTTTAAAAATCTTTTTACTTAAATTCTTCTAGGCACTGCTCACTGCACAAAGACACTGATGGATTTTTAGGATTGTTTTATAGCCATAAGGCACTTACAAGAGCCAAAGTCTGTATTATTTCTATATTTTTGTCATAACAATTTACTACAAATAATGGATTAAAACAACACAAACTTATCATCTTCCAATTAATGTCAATAAGAAGTCTGGCAATGACTCACTGGGATAAAATCCAGTTTTTAGCAGACCTTCATTGCTTTCTGGAGGGTGTAGGGTGTAATCTGCTTCCTTGATTTTTCCAGCTTCTTAAGGTCCCCCACATTCCCTAGTCCCTCCTCCATCTGCAGAGCCAGTGATATTGCACCTCTCTGACTGATCCTCCATAGTCACTTCTTCCTCTCTCCACAGCCAAGAAAGGCTCTCCATTTTTTAAGGGCTATTGAGTACATTGGCATCACCCAGGTCATCAAGGAAAATCTCCCCCATTTCAAGGTCCTCAGTTCAATCACATCTGTCAAGTCTACTTGCCATGTGAGATAACAGATTACAGGTTCCAGGGATTAGGGACATAGACATCTTTGAGGAGACATCATTTTGCCTAATATAATATTGTAAATAATAACAATGATGAAACTCTGGTGTTTAAAGCGAATTTCTCACATTAAAAGTAAGGAAAGTTTTATTCACTCTTACTTCTTTTTTTCTTGGGTTTTTGTGAAGCAGAGTTGTTTCCAACATCCATGAAACCTAGAAAATAACAGATGGTGGTGAGAAAACAAACATGAACAAATAAAATTTCCAGGTCTTAGGATGGTTCATGGCAGAAGACCTGAGTATACGAGTATAAAGGCGTCTGATTTCTTGAGAAATAAGTGTCTGGCATGGGCCCTGGGTCTTGTTTAATTTCTCAACATGACTTTGGAAATATACCTTAAATGCTTCTGTACTTCAGCTTATGCAGGGATTGCAACAGGTATTCCATCCTGTCCAGGTGTTAATGTTTTTGCGAGGTGTCGGTGCCTCCTCAGCCAGGTCCCCAAAGAGCAGGCGTATGCAGTATATTGGTGTCGCCCAGGTATCCTTTTATTGCAGACAAATGCACTTATGTTGCACTTGTGCCATTGACCTTTTATACCAGTCAGCAGTGCTCCAAACGCATAATATTTATTGTGTGTCATCTAAAATCCCCCCAAATTACTATTTTTTATTTAAAGGAAAAAACAGGAATACTTGAACAGAGCTTTTGTAACAAAGAAAGCTACTAGTTATCTTTGCTCTTAGGTTTCTTCCTTTAGCCTATTTTTTAAATAGATTTGTTTCCAATGTCCACAGGATTTGGAAGAAAAGGAAAACACAGCCAATATTGTAAAACTGAAGGAGTGGTAAATCTTATGACTCTTCACATTGTTGAAGGATTTGGAACTTAAAGATGTGGTGATGATCATTTCTGTCTCTTCTCATCTAAAGCAATGAGATTGCTATAAAATGAAGCAAAGTCTCACAATGCTTTATCCCATATGCAGAATCAAAGAAGTCTTGAAAACCATCAGCTTTTCACAGGTTTTCAGCTAAGTCACTTGGCAGGGAAGCTGACCTTAGCTGCCATGAGTCCATGTAGAATCTTTAACTTATCACACTTGGTGTGACTTCACACAATTTATTGAAGAAACATTAATATATTTGAGAATAAGATTTTGCCCCAGGCACAGTGGGGTCTTTTGTAACATAAAGGATATAAATCACAGTGCATTTCTAAAATAGTAAAACATTATTATTTTACGTGTGGCTTCAGAGGTTTTGAATAAAGGTAACTCTCCCTGTGATTCTGTAAAGAGTCTGAGAACATCATAGATACAGAGAGGAAACTGATGGCTCCCCAACAGTGAAATGGGGGAGCAACTGTTATCTGGCCAAACTTTGAGGTTGTTGTAAACATAAATAGATGTCCTTTTAGGCAAAGCCATGTTCAAACATCACTAGATAGGCCAATGTCATGTTGGGGGTCATCTGTCAAAAGCTATAAAGGGAACTTAATAGTCATAACCAAAAACTTTTCCTTGTGTCCATAACTAAAAAATAACTAAGAGTCTGTTGAAATATGAACAGGCTTGTGACAAAATTGAGCAATACCTGACTGTCCAGCTGTCTCTGTCCTGGACAGATCAGGTGCTGAGTGCGTGAACATCTCTATGTGGTCCAGAACTTGGGGGATGATGTCTCTGAGCATGTAGTCAGTAAGGAGGCACTGCTGTCCTGCCAGAGCCATCTTGTTAAGCCTGAACTTAAGTGATTTCTTTCTTTGCAGGTTTATTTACTTTCATTTGTTATTGAATTGGTTGGGGTGACATTGGTTAATGAAATTATGTAAGTTTCAGGTGCATGATGCTATAATACATCACGTGTACATCGTGTTGTGCATTCACCACCCCAAGCCATGTGTCCTCCCATCCCCATTCATCCTCCTTTATTCTCTTCTACATCTCCCCACCCTACTTCCATCTGGTAATCGCCATACTGTTTTATTTGTCTAGGTATGAGGTTATTCTTTTCTTTTCTTTCTTCTTTTTTTCTTCTGCTTAAACCCTTCTTTCACCCAGCCCCTTTACCCCCTCCCATCTGACACCTGTCATTTTTTCCCTCTGTATCTATGAGTCTGAGTCTATTTTGTTTGCTAGTTAATTTTGTTCTTTGCAGTCTTCACAGTGGCCACATGAGAACAAGGCAGGACTGGGCTCCCGCATGTGAGGTGTGCTCAGAGGAACAGGAGCCCTGACCTCAGGCTCCTGCTGTCCTGGAGCCCAGCCATGGTGACCCTTACCCTCCTGGTCAGCACCACTTCTCACTGCAGAGCTCCCGGCTTCTGGGCGCTTCTCCTGTGCACTGAACCCCGAAGACCCTCCAGGACTTCTCACTGCAGAAGGAGCAAATGTTCCTTGCAGGTCTCAGTGTGTGACAAGGAACTCAGGAAAAAGTTGGGAAGCTCTGAAAACCCAGGGCTAGCTTGTCCCTCCCTCAGTCCCCCATGATGTGTCTTTTGTATTCACGTGACCTGTAGGTCAGAACTTTATCATCCCTGTCCCCTGGGCCTGGGGTGGAGATATTTCTCTCTCACTGGACTCCTCTGCATTCTCTTGGCCCTCTGCATTCTGCACTGCACTCTCTTTCTTCCTTTCCATGTAGCTTTATGGATTTGTGTTTATGCCTATAATTGTGTTCATCATTAGCTGTGCTTCTCTCCCAAGGTGGTCTTACAAATTTGGCATTGAAGGAGGCAGACCTGTCACTTGACTTCTCCCCAGGATAACTTTGTGAAAAAGAGCCCCACCCCTCCCCTTAAATTCTACTGTGTTTGGGACATTGATATCTTCGAGTTGTTGCTTTTTTTGTCATAGCCACTAATCTACTTAATATAAAAGTTAAAATGAACTATCATAAATTAAAACAAATTTGTACTTTACTATAAAAGATATAGCAAGGAATTGGAAGGAATTTTTTTGCAGAAAACACTGCTCATTTGTAACCATGAAAAGCTGTTATTTGCTCTTACCTCTTTTGGAAGGTTTCTTTCCAGATGGAGATGGCTTTAAGTTCACAGACTCTATAAAGTAAGAGGAAGAAAACTGTTATTTGTTACCAACAGTCTTACATAATGTATGATGACTCACACAGCACATAGGGTTTGTGATAATCTCAATTTTGAAATTAGCATTTTCCTCTTTCCTTGAGCTGAACCCAGTTCTGGTGCCCACAGTCCTAATACTGGGTCCTGCCAGGCTCTCCCCTTTACTTCTATATGTGAATTTGTAAATGACCTTGAAACATTACCTCCAGTTTCCTCATCTCCAGTTTCCTCATCTGTAATACTGAAATAACCTAGTTACCCTATCTCCCTGTTAAGGTATTTGTGAAAACAAAGTGAATCTATATTCAGAATAGCACTGTGAAAAAATCAAAATGTAAGCCAATAGTTTAAGTATCATTTGGGCTTGAGAGGTAGTTGGTCTGAGCCACTTTTTCCATCAGTACCTAAATAGCAGCACCAATGATTCTATGAAGACTTTCCAAGTTTTGCACTAATGAGAATATTGCTAAGAAATTATGAAATACTATGCTCACTACTCTCTGTAGAATATAAAACATGTTGGTAGAGATGAAGTATATTTTTTCAACTATTTAGCAATAATTAATATGACAGTATGTAGTCAGTGTGTAGTATAAAAGACTGCCATTTGCCAGTGGAGTATGTTATTGCTATGTTGTTATAATATCAATTGACTGGGCTCATCCAGTTGAACAACAGTTCATAATGCCCCCTTTTCCCTCTTTCATATTCCAATAGGGTTGAAGACATTAAATGCTCAAAGTGATGCTCTAGAAGTCATTGAATCAATGCATATGGAGAATGTCAGAGTGAGGTTTGTTTAGAAAATAGAGCTCTGGATTTAGACTCTGGATTTTGATGTCCAGTAATACATCTTATCTGTTGCATTTTAGAGTCATGAACAGGTGACTTGTTGGTCTTTCCTCCTTTGCTCATTTCTAAGGAGTCCAGGTTATTGATATCTGCACAGAGGAATAGGATTCGCTAAGTGTCTCAGTGTGTGACTAAGGAACCAATTCAGCAGGAAATTCCCTAATAAACTTGGAAATATTTTGAAAACCCATGTATATCATGGCCTTTGCATAGGCCACCTGAACTGCTCTCCTAGGTCACCTGCCTTGTAGGTATTGATGTTCCTTTCCCTGTTCCCAGAGCAGAGACAATTCATTGCTTTGTTTGAACCTGACCTTCCTACACTTCTCTCTCTTCCTCCTCCTACCCCTTCTATTGTCATTTCACAATGTATTCATTGGCTGTTTCTTTGTGAGGAGGCCTTGGATATCTTTTGTTGAAGGTAGAGAGACTCCTATACACCGTAGTGCCCCTTGAATCATTTGCAAGGCTGAGAAATAATCTTCTCTTGTGTCTGAGCCATAGACCTATGTTGGGACCATCTTTCAGTGCAGTTGCCTACACTGAGACACAAGTCAGAAAGCATACTCCCTAAAAACTGAAGCAAACTTACATTATACACTGATGGATATAGTGAGATATCAGAACAAAAGTATTACTTGCAATATTGTTCTGTTGTAACATCAAGAGCAGGTAACATATTTATTTGCTTTTAAAGGCTTGACTTATTAAAAATGTTTCCAATAGGCAGGTTTGCAATATCCTCTGAGGAAGCAGGAAGGGAAAACGAATCTCTGATTTGTGCACTAAAGAGCCACAAATCTTACAATTACTCATGCTGCACAAAGAATTGAGGAAACCATATTTTGGTAACTGTTTTGAGCTCCAGTTTTACAAAGGAAACAACACAGCATCTGGCATGCTAGTCTTGTCTTCCCCTTTTTCTCCATGAGACTTTGTGGAAGTCCTTGAAATATTTATGTGATTGTGTTTGCTCATCTAGAAACAAAATTGACACTGTCCATACTGCTTACCCCTCAGGGTTGCTGTAAAGGAAAAAGTAAGACACTATTTGCAAAGGTCCTTTGAAAAGTCACTATATGTTCCTAACCTGCTGAAGAGCTCTGTCAAAAACCATACTTTGGGTTTCAAAATTCCTTATCTGTTTCCTGCTCACACTAGATAACTGAAGGAATTGGCCCTTGACACTATTCAAAGCTTGTGACCTGATGACAATATGACCTTCCAGTAAAAGAAATACTTAGCTTTCTTTTCTCTATGGAAACCACTGTAAAAATCCAACCAGCGCTTTATAGTCATAGACTCAGTTTTCAAACACATTCATTACTTTGCTGGCTTATTTCTACTATATAATCAATAGATAGATGCATAGGTTGATTAATAGGACCCATAAATTAATAGGCCCCATTTTCAAAAAATGTAAACATAATGAATTCTTATTAACTTGCACATTCCCAAGAGATTAAGTAAAATAGTGAAATAAATGCAGAGAATGAGATTCCAAGATAAACTGGATCCATAGTGCAGCATGAGCTAGAACACATGCCCCTGGAAAGAGTTGCTCTTAATTCAGGTCCTGCAGCCCAAGCCTTGAGCTCCCACCTCCTCACCTGGTTTTTTATTCAGTGCTGAGGTGGAACCTTTGGGAGGCTCTTTTTCTGTTTCTACATTCTGCAGAGTCAGCACTGCTCGTCACTGCACAGAGAACAAAAACCCCTTAGACTTTCAGGGAGGTGCCAAGGAGCCCACTGATAGGAAACCTCATGACAAGAGCACAAGGAAGACCTAGAAGCTAAGTCAAGAGGTTCCCCCAGGTTTGTGCCCCAACATGTGTGGCCTGCAGGTTGCTCCAGGTCCTACACAGAAGGTGGTGACATTCAGGCACAGAGGACAGCTGTGCCCATTCTGCAGCAATGCTTACCCCACAGTCACCCCGTCTCCTACTTCCATCCTCACTCTACATCCGATCCCCACCCTCATTCTACCTCTTCCCTTTGCTCTCTATTACTTCCATCCCCATTCTATCTCTTTTCTTTCATTCCTATCTTTAATTCTTCACTTTCCTCTTGGTTTGGCCTATTTTTACTATTTTTGTTTCTGGTGATGGTATCTCTTTACACATTCTCTTCTCTTCCTGTGTTTGTTTTAATCTCCTTTCATGAACATCTTGGCTCTCTGAATAATTTGCCTTGAACATAGAATACTCTCTGACATCAACACTGAAATTTACCTTTTCTGTTTTTTATACTTTTCACAGGGGACATTTATACAATCACAGGGGACATTTTTCTGTTGAACTCACTGCATAAGGTACTGATCCTCTCACTTTCCTACTGCTAACTCAGGCCACCAGGACAACCTCCATAGGCCATATGACGTGTCCCATACCCTGACCTGCTACCATGATTCACATCACACATTCTTTCAGTCAGCCTTGCCTACTATATCAGATGCCTGGTTACAGTCCATCTTTGCTTGGGTTTCCCATTCATCTCCTGAATTAAAAAATGACTTTTCCTTCATTATATCCACAAGATCTACAGAGAAAGAATTTATTCAGTTTCCATGGTGGGGTAGCTCTGCTCCTGAACCTAATTACAAAAATGAAGAATTTTGTTTGTCTCCCCAAAGGAAGTGAGCACCCTCACTACAATTAAGACTTTCTCCCTGTAATGCCACTGGGTTTTATTTATTTACTTTTTCACTTTTGTTTCTACTTTTCAAAGTAGAAGCCTATTTTCATCTGATAGGGTTCCAGGGCCACTTTGAGCACTGTGGACAGCAGCCCACTGTGCCCTCTTTGTGGTGACTGTCTCCTCCTATCAGACAAAGCTTGGTCCTCTCTCTGCCAGTTCTCCATTCATTGTCCTTTACTCACTTCAATACAGTTTTCTTTGTGTCTCCCTCCCCATTTTTTATTATTGATACTCATTTCCCTCTGTATCTTTGTCTCTTTATACTATTTCTTTACATTTTTGTCCTTGCCTACCAGGGGCAACAGGGTCTTGGGTAAAGCATAGAAGGTGCTCAAGACACAAGCGGTCCTCAGGGTGAGCTCCTCCTTACTTGTGTCCCAGGGTATTCCCCCCTCACCTTAGACCTGGTCCTGTGGTGCCACCCAACTTTTTAGTTTATCCTTTCTCAGCTATGTTTCCTACTTTCTCCTATTTTCTTTCTCTCTCTTCATTATTTTTTGACTCGTAGAGCCCTCATCTTTGTCAACTTTGTCTTTCTTTGTAATTTCTTCCTGTCTAGCATTCCAGTCATCACTGCAGTCTCCCTGTGCCTTTACCCACAATGTAGGGTCCCTCCACCTGCCTGTTCCCCTCCACACTCATTATACTCAGGCACTCAGTCTTACCTACTGGCTCAAACCCTTGGGCATATTTTTCAATCCCTTGTTGGGCTGCTAATGCATTGTTGTCACTGATTGTACCTGTATCTAGCACATTTATGTCTTCTGTTCCAGAGAGGCACTCTGAGAGTCTATTGTCAGGTGGAGCTGTACTAAGACCATGTATGATTCATAGATATTTTCTTTGCTTTCTTTATCACTCAGGGTCCAACCAGAAAATAGAAACCTCTCTAAGCTTTTAGAGCAGAAGGAATTTAATCCAGATGATCAGTCATACAGCTAATAGAAGAGCTGAGAATTCCAACCCAAAAATAATGAATAGGAAGCTATGGGAGGGACCAAGAGTGAGGTCATGTGCCAAGGCTGCCTGGGAGCTAGAAAGGAGATCATGTTTGCCTGCCTGGTGGAAGGCAGAGTCATCAGAGTTGCTGCTGCTGCCAGAACTGTTGCCCAAGACAGTGAATTGGAAACACCAAGCTTCTCCCTTGCTCCCACTCTCCAATCTCTTGCTAGGGTGATCAGGTTAAGAACCCAGCAAGAAGCAGAAGCAAGTGAGCTGTCAAGCAAGTCTGCATGGGTCTGTGGCCAGAGACAAAGGGCACATTGAAGGAAGAAACAATAAGGTCCTGGATAAACTACCCAGGACCAGCACACCCTCTTCCCCACACTGAACCTCCCTCACTCATTACTGATTCCACTGACCCATCCCACTGTGTTCCCTCCAACCTCAATACTGTATGGATGGAAAATATTTTATCAGTACAACTTCAATTATTTCATCTACTGCTCTTTTCCTAAACAAAGTACTTTATGTAAAGATGATTTAAAATTTAATTCCCACAACGTTAACATAGGACATGGGCCCTGGTACATGTTTTATGTTACATACACATTCCTTGGAGCCTCCTCTTGGGGTGGGGGTGGCATCAGGCACAGTGTTATCCTTGCCTGTGCATGTCACAGTCAACCCGTCCTGCTAGGTCAGACTCTTGGGTGTATTTACTGGTGGTTTGTTGCACATTATTTGGGTCATAATGTCATGGTTCCACCCAACACCCCATCTGCACATTAAATTCCTTCTCTGCTCATTACTAGTCACAATTCCTTCCTCCCAATCCTTCCTGTTCCCACCAGTACACTGGTAGATGAACTGCTAAGAATACACTCTGATGAATGTTGGATGCCTGTTAAGTGTTAACTCTTTCACTAAATGTAATTTTCTAAGAGTATCAGAGTGTTTTTAAAAAGTCACTCTGAGCCCTGGATGGCGTAGCTCAGTGGATTGAGTGCGGGCTGCGAACCAAAGTGTCGCAGGTTCGATTTCCAATCAGGGTACATGCCTGGGTTGGAGGCCATGACCCCCAGCAACCGCACATTGATGTTTCTTTCTTTCTATCTCCCTCCCTTCCCTCTCTAAAAATAAATAAATAAAATGTTAAAAAAATAAAATGAAATAAATCACTCTGTGTTTTTATTTTATAAAAATGCTAATTTATAATGTCCTTTATAAATAACACATCCCACATGAGCTACAGAATTATGCTTTCCATGGTGCAGGAAGTTCCCTGAGTCTCCTCCGTGTCACTTATTTGCAAAGAAGAGTCAGGGAATAAGGACATAAATTTATTATATACCAGTGTGATATAAGGATGGTGAACCTGTGGTTGTCTATTTATTTTCTTGGGCCTGAGGTTGGTACTGTTTTGATCACTACTCCATAACCTGAGGGATCATTAAATCCACATGGACATACGTGAGAAAAGAAAACCCCACAGTTTACTGTGGTACATAACAGTTTAGACTCTGGCTCAATACTAATAATAATGATCATAAACATAGTAACATTAAAAAATCTTTAGAACGCTGATGAAGACTCATGCTGTGACAGGACATAGCTGAGCAGTAGCCATTCTTAGGCAGGAGCTGACCAGCAGCCATTCCCAGACAGCAGTCTTTCCCAGATAAGCAGTCATGTCAAGGTCGTACGCTAATCCCCGCTTTTAGCAGATGCAGTCCTTTCCCCCCTCCTTCTGCCTGTGTAACAAGCTTATAAGGAAACTCCAGCTAAGCTCAATGCCCAGAATTTGGAATTTTATCTCCTCTGGGTCCACATGCGTGAACAAACTCCACTTTGTAAACTCCCAGGCCATCTGAGTCATCTTTTCTGTAACAATGCAAGTCTGTGAATTCTTTACATGATACAACTTGTCACCCTGTGAGGGAGGTACTATTATCACCTCCATTTCATAAGTGATGAAACTGCGGGACAAAGAGGGGAAGTCACTTCCCAAGGTCTCAGGGCAGAATTGGAGCCAGCTGTGAGTCACCAGACCTCCTGCTCTGACACTGCCCTATGGCAGAGTTTAATCCCTAGTCTCAGTGCCTGAACTCCCACAAATAGCCCAAGTCTCCAAGCAGATTCTTTGTCTTCTGAAAAACTCAGATGACATACCATCATTGT